GTGAAAAAAAAAAAAAAAAAAAAAAAGTTGGCAAAAAGGGGCTCTTTCCTGGCAAAGGATACATTTCCACACAAATGAGAAAAACTTTTCCCTGTCAGCCAATGAATCAGTTTGTTTTAAGCTAGTGATAACATGGCTTTGGAGATTAGGAAGCTAGTGAGCTACAAAGAAGATCAAATTACTTTTCTTTAAGTGAAAAAATAAACACCTTAAAGTGAATAATCACTAAACTAAACCCCTTCTATCAATTTCGGAATGGAAGAGCAATCCAGAAATAATATCTGATGTGAATTTGGTCAATATCATGAAGGGGAAATAAATGAGCCAGCTAAAAAGTAGGAATTATGTATCACATGTCTGAACTGGAAGAGTTTATTATCATGGTTTCTTTTGATAAATGGCTAATTAACAGAGCTCTGCAAATGCAAAACGAAGAATAGAAAACATTTACTGCACAGACAGCCACCACCAGAATTTTCATACATAAGTGCTTAAGATTAGCTGCTGAGATGCATATTCAGCACTTTAACCACAGCAGCATGATTTTCAAATCAGATAGGTACCCACAAATTGTACAGCTGCCGAAGCTGGACTCTCCAGTCCCCCTGAAAATAAGGAAACTTTGATTTAAACTTAAATTTAAATTTTTAATTTGGATCTAATGTTAGGCATCCATGTTTGACAAATTTAGCCGTCATTTGCCCCCAGCAAAAGTGAGTGGGCCACCTCTACATCACATAAGAACTAGTTACTTATATCCACTATAAGTGTGTGCAGGGGAGAGGCTAAGCACCATAAAGATGATTCAGAAGCAGGCAGCAGCTCCCCAGCTAGCCTTCCAGCGTCTTGTCAATACAAACTTCAAGGCAACCAAACTTTAGGGCTTTTTGCTTGGAATTGGAAGGAAATCCAGAAAAGGAGGAAAAAACAAAAAAAAAAACAAAAAAAACAAAAAACAGACACAAAAACGAAAAAAAAACCCACACACACACAAAAAAATCATGTATTTGCTACAGAGTATTGTAATTGTCTCAATGGGAATGGTGTAAAAACTGAAAGGCCTTACGTGATATGTATCATAGTTAATAAATCGATCTTGTAAAAAAAAAAAAAAAAAAAAGGCAG